CACAATCGAAAGAAAACCAACGATGCTGTCTAGTGATGGACTACGCTGCGGACTCGTTCGTTGCTTACGCCATCTCCGCTGTTGTTGTTAGTTACACTGGTATCAGTAGTCTCTAGGCCGCCGGCTCTATGAGCCTCCGAAGACGGCAACGAGCTGCTGCCGAACGTCACTGCTTCAGCTACCAGCCGACGACGGCTGCCGCGGCGAACGAATTGTGATCTGTGTATGTGCTTGTGTGTGAATTGCACGTAGGTTTGTTAATGACGGTGTCTGTCTGGGGATGGCCAAACGGAACAGTAATACGTCAAGCTCCGGGCTGAATAGAGTGTCGACAATACAAATGTCAAGATGATACGATGAATGCAAATGCCACAACCAATGAGAATAGTAGGCAAACTAAGAAGCGAGTCGAAGACGGGTAACTACAGCCACGATTCGGTGTACGCCGTGGAGAAGCTACGAGTAACGGGGTAATTTCGTTTAGTTGAATTGTGCTTTGCAGCGACTCTGTCATTGACTTCAACAGCAAACACAAACAGCAGAAGATAGTTACCAGTTGCTGAAATGGGTCCCTGCCCAAGTGCCGTTTTGGGCTGGTTACTTTTGGACCACCTCTTTACTACTCCTTGCCAGGTGGCTTAGTAAGGTAGAATGGAGTACTAGATGAAAACTAGACAGCGATGGCTGCTAGTCTAGCAGTCAGTAACGGCGAAAGATTCTGGACGCAACAGGCTAGAAGCAAAACGTTTCATTGGCAATATCAGCAAAAACTTGACGTTTCTCGTCCTTAGTAGCAATAAGCCAGCTGAATTGGCCCTAACGGGATCCCATCGTAAGTAAGGGTCGCATCGCGATTCTGCGCACTACGCTGGCCTTATAGCCGTCAGAATATAATCGGCTATGATTGGTTTGTATGTCTCGAAAGAACCGACGACTATAAGTAAGCCATAGATACCGCACGCGCACGCATATCGCAGTCTGACAATTCGATCGCAATCGCCTATCAAGTGTCGTCTATTATCCAATTAAGGGTTGGTTCTTAACCGATTCATCTACCATCGACATCGTAAATTTTCTAGCGCCCTCCAAAAAGACACCGGAGCTCGTAGGTGTCCACATAGCTAAATACATCGAAAGGCATCCACCGTTATATGGGTAAGGATTTTGTATGGCACCATGACGGCATGTCGCCTATATTCTCTATGCTCACCATAAACATACATAATTTGATGGTGTAACAAGCTAGCCGGTATTTGTACGTATCTATAGTGACTTTTTAGGCATCTTTACAAGCGTCTCTACAAACGTATCGCATTCGTCTTCACGTCTTCAACCTTGTTAGCTCTTCAATCCGTTCTCGCACTGATGAGCGGCCTTCTTTAGTTAGCAGTCATAGATACCACAGATCGATTGGTAGGTGCCTGCTTGCTGTATGTATATATATATATATATATATATATATATAGCATTCATTTCAGACTAATGCTGCTGCTGCCGCAGTTATTTGAGGTGGGCTTCCCTTTTTCTTTTGCCTGTGACTTCGTCTTCTTGGTTGTGACACCCGCCGTTTGCGTTAGACCGGGGTAATGGCTCTTGGAAAGATATCCAACCGTGTTGGCTGCCGCATGCTGTAGCTAGTTTCTTTTAATCTTTGCGGGAATTCACTTTTGAGCAAGTGTGCTGCCAAGCAGATGTGGATCCCATCGTGGCGTCTATGTCGTCATCGATAAAGTAGTAGCAGTAGCAAAGTCAACGATCTCAGCCGCCGATCCAGGAGTAGTCATACTAAGGATCTGCAAGAGTCCTCCTCCTCCTCCTCCTCCTGACGCTGCTGCTGCCACAACTCCTATAGAAAAATCGGCAAAAGCAAAAACAGCCGCCAGAACAGCGCAGCGGTGTTCAGTCATCCTTTGCTCAATTTTTCTTTGCTTCAGCTAGCCAGCGTAGCACCAATAGAATTTCGACTTTACCTTACTTTTCCATTGTGATGTTCTCGCTAACGATGCTGAAGCGTGCGCTGAACGCAAGTGCAACTGGGCGACCTACCAAAGAAACGATTACCGTTAGCCACAACAGTCGATTTGGCGGTATACTGGCGACATGACGCGACGCAGCACGACGTGGACATCGAGGCGACGTTTTAACGATTCTCTGGACGGGTGGTTGGTCACGTAGCTTCTTTTGATAGCGTACACATACGCACGGCACATATAGGTACGGTTACAAAAACCAGCTGACAGCAAACACGGCCATAACGGCCGATAAACACAGGTTTGATCTGAGAGACGTACAGAAGAAATACGTCGTTTTACCCGCACGCGTACTCACGAAACACATTAACGCGGATGTCGGCTTAATTGCATTGGCCAACTCCAGTGACCTGCAGATACGAGCCCGACGAAGAACAGTTGGAAATAAATGATTATAGGATACGTATATATA